TGGGAAATCATAGATGTATGATATACGCAAGCGGGACAGAGAGGGCACTTGGATTAGACGCAATAAGACGTCTCGAAGGGGTTGGCGTAATGCATTCCATTGTATTGTGCCAATGGGATCACCAACTACCAGCTCGAAAGATTGAAGATGGTGGAGCTTTCCCAGTACCCGGGGCACATCATCATCTTCAAAGTCAGGCGAACACATGTGGAATACGAAAGTCCGAACCAAATCTGAAATTCCTGGATTGTTGCTGAGAAGAATTCCGAATAATTTAATGATGCGTGGACGGCTTCTTTGTGGGTAGGAACGAGTAGTGATGCGGATGGATCGGAAGATGTATTTGCGACACAATGGTAGAAGCGATGAGCAGGTCTGAGAGCATGCCTCCAAGGCGGCGATATCGTCCCGAAGAGCGTTGATTATCTCTCCGATAACTTCCAGAGGTGAGTCGGAGAAAGACGCCATTGACTGTTGTGGTGGGAAAGAAAATCGTCACGGTTGGTTGAGCAAAGATGTCGGCAGATCTTCCCACGACGGACTTCAAATGACTTGCCTACTTTTGGTTCACCGTGACTTTCGGTAGAAGATCTGAGTAAGTAGCGTTTCTACGACTCATGCGCATGAGGCCTGACGTTGGAATTCGAAGTCAGTGATAAGGCAGAACGCTTGTTCCAACTTCTGGCGGTTTACTCAGCCAACTTGAACCGGGGGTTTGAGCACCGGAGCTTGGAGGCGAAACGTCCCCGTTTTGAGCAGCTGAAGTTCCATTTCGAGGTGCAATGAATTTCTGGGTTTTGGCGGAGTGTCTGACTGTTCAGTAGTGAGGAGACAACGAGGTGCGACACTCGGAACGGTTGACTTTCTGCCGAACGTCGCAACTTGAATTTGTTCATCTATAGCTACACTCCAAGATGCAGGACACCAGACTTCGCTCTTCATACCGCAATATTAACTCTTTATCGCTTCACTTGATCAATGCCTTATAAGTAACCGTTGACATTACCTATCCATCATGCCCCCACTCCCTCCCTTCATCCGCCCATACCTCAACCTCGCGTTCTCCAATGACCACATATCCTCCCTCCCGCAACTAATCACATTCGCAGCCCAGCACAATCCCCACCATACATTCGCCCTCCAACTCCGCGCCTCAGAACCTCGATGCGAACTTTCGTTTGCGCAGCTTGGAGGGATGGTGGAACGTGCGTCGGCCTGGCTCGTCTCATCAGGTACAACCACAGGCAGGGAGAGGAGGGAAGAGTAAGTAGGCTGCGTAGCGATACTTTTGGCGAGTGATGTGGGATTGTTTGTGTATCTGAGTGCGTTGTTGAGGATTGGTGTGCCGGTGGGTTTTCTTTTCTTCTATCGTTCTGTTTACTAAATGACGCTTCAAAAAATAGGCCCTGCTCCTCTCTGCCCGCCTTAGTCCCACATCAATTGCACACCTAATCAAAGAAACATCCCCCACCTCCATCCTCATGTCCTCCCAAACATTACTCGTCGCAAGTAAAGCACTTTCTTTTCTTCCTCCAACATCCCGCTTCCTCCCGCCCCGCCTCGTCACCCCACCTCCCTACTCCATTTTTCTTCTCCCAGGTTCCCTCACACCCGACTCCCCTCGACCGCCAGCAGTTCCGCCTCCATTCGAAAACCACCTCCCCACAGATCTCGACGCACTCACACTCCATTCATCAGGAACCGCCGGGCTCCCAAAGGCGATATACCACTCCCACGCGTTCTTACTCAGGCTCTTCGCGTCTGCGCATCGGTTTGAGGAGAAGGTGGGGGAGGGATATAGCATTGTTACGTCGCCTTTGTATCATGTTCGTCGGCTTCTTTAAAAATATCAAAGTTGACGAAGCTAAATGTATGGAAATTGAAATAACAGAGGTTCAGACTCCTCGCACCCATCCTATCTCTATCCATGAACCTCCCATTCGTCCTTCCCCCCTCTGGCATCATACCCACCGCCCTTTCCACACTCCACACCATCAATTCAACCAACGCCCGTTATTTGTTCACGGTACCGTGTATTATTGAAGATATTCTCTGCCTCCCTGATGACGTGGGGTTGGAGGCGATGAAGAAATTGGACATCGTCGTCGTTGGTGGTGCGCCTTTGAAAGACATCGTTGGGAGACGGATGACCGAGGGGGGTGTTAGGGTCTTAAATCATTGGGGTGGGCAATTATAGTTGTTGTTCGCGCCTCCCACTTAATAGTGATTTTTACTTTCGAAGGTGCTTCTGAGACAGGACCCATCACGCCTATCGAAAACGTCAAGCCTGGGTATCATGATTGGCGGTATTTGAGTCCGAGGACGGATTTGGGGTTTAAGTTCATTCCACAGGATCACTACCCCAACAATAACGGGGATAATGGGGAGGACAGTAATGAGAATGGAGAAGAACAAAGGAGGACGTATACGCTTGTCTTTCGGCCTCCGGGGTGGAAGGAGCATTTCGTTCTTGGAGATTTACTTTGGGCTGCTCCTGGGCCTGAAGCCGCGCACGATAATCAAGTTCATCTTGGTGACCTCAATCCCATTCGACACCCTCCCTCCACCTCTTCTACTAATTCCACCAAAACCCAAACAGTACCAAATCCTGATTCCTGACCAGAACAGACACCATCATCGTCCTCTCAAACTGAGAAAAAATTAATCCTGAGTTTGCAGAACGATTGATCGGTGAACATCCGGACGTAAGAGGGGTGCTGGCGTTTGGCCAATGGGAGGTGGCCGTTGGCGTTGTCATTGAGCTCCGAAGTGGGCGGGACGTGGTTGGCAGTGCGTTTCGCCCTCACTACCCTCAGTTTGACGTGAAAGGTGAAGCTGAAGTGGGAGCTGGGGAATCAGAGCAGGGGATATTCACCTACATCGACCGCGCGAACCTCCTCCTAGACGCACACGCCCAAATATCCCCCGAGCTCGTTGTATTCACTTTCGAGGAGTGCAAGTCGCTCGTGAGGACGGATAAAGGAAGCGTAGCCAGGAAGGCAAATTATGCTCTGTTTGAGCGGGAGATTCGGGGGGCTTATGAGCGGATGGGGAGCCTGGGTTCCGTTCTGGGTCCCAGTGCGGCGCACGAATTCCCGACAAGCAGCTTGGCGTTGCGTGAGCGTCTGCACAAAATGGTGGCAGACATCACTGGCATATCCCTGTTAACAACACCTTCCTTCCTTCGCCATCCTCACACAGTGAGAGCGATTCTTATATCACCCTCGACCCTTCCTCCCATTCATCGTCTCCTGGAAGTTTTTCGGACGGCGACATTTCAAGCATTCATAACACCAACTTCGATATATTCGCTGACGAAAACCGATCACCTGTAATCAGACCAACTGCGATTTCTTCCACATGCATTTCTCCGAAGTTCCTACAACTCAACGCAGACGAACACTACGACGCTGAAGATATATTTGGCCATACAAGTTCTGCAGTATATGATCAAGCGTTAAGTGTCTTCCCCAAAACGACTCTGACCTGTTCGAAGCGGGTCTGGACAGTTTACAAGCTTCCCGCGTACAACGTGCCATTCTTGACCAGTTGAGGAACTCAGGAACAGCGAGTGTCGAGGAGCCTCAGCTGGAGAAATATTTTTGTTTTGCGTATCCGTCGGTGGATAAGATGGCGGGTGCTTTATCAACTCGGTTGATGGCTGAGGAAAAAGTGGTGGATGATGAAGAGGGGAGGATAAGAGGGATGAAAGAGATGGTTGAGCGATATCGAGGGGTGCTCGGCAGCTCTGCCTCTTTGCTTCCAACGAGCAAGAACGGGGCCGGTGCAGGTGCAGAAGAATCGTCGCCACCACTACCCCAATACTCCTTCGTTGTTTTACTAACTGGATCAACGGGAAACCTGGGATGTTTTCTCCTTGCTCGGTTGGCCAAAGATCCTGGGGTGTCCAAGGTCATTTGTTTGAATAGGGCATGTTCGGGCACAGGAAAATCTGCGTGCCATCTGCGGACACCTGCGGACACAGGTTGCGTGCCAGTTGCGAACCGAAAGGAAGTATCTGCGGTCACTTGCGTGCAGACCAATCCAGTTGCGTGCACATTAGACCTAGTGAGCCGAGTATCTGCGGGCATCTGCGAGCATCAGCGCACCTTGCTGAGATTTCATATTTCTTGAGATTTCTTCAATGAGCACCATAATTATCCTTCTAGTTTAACGTATCTGAATCTCTCTTATTCTTTCTGACTTGTTGGTTTGTACCTATAGGTCTGTACTAAGACCATTTTTATGCTGAAATGTACAAGTAACGCAGTGTCTGAGGCTATGACTAGTCAGCCACCGGCTTCTTACCACTATTTTCCTTCTTTATCGGACGTGATTGTGGTCGATTTTTTTCCAGAGACTTCGGGACTCAATAGCCAATGTCTGCCATTGGCGAGTGATGGAGTCTCACCTCTCGTTCAGACTCGCTCTCTTCTTCCCATCCCAACTTGATTCCACACCAAACGAGGGACATTAGGGAAAACCAACTTTGGAAATCGACGAAAATCTCTCGTTATTTCCCGACTACTTCCCCAGAAAACCTGGATTCCGGTGTTTCCCCCAATTTTCTCGATTAGACCGGTGTCAGCGGATTTGAAGAAAATTCTTGGGACATTCATAATGTATTTCACTGTCATTTCCCTCACTTTTACAATGTATTTCAATGACATTTCCCTCACATTCACTAATTTTGGAACCATTTCATTCATGGGATTCATAAATTATACTGGCGACATATATTGCTCTACGAAATGACCAAGATGTCCTGCATCCAATCAGCATTCCACCTGTGATACACTTGCGTTCAGCTTGCGGTACACTTGAGATACATCTGCGACACACCTGCGACACATTTAAGATACACTTGCGAGAGTTAGTATCCATTGCGAGACTTGCGTACACTTGCGTGCAACTTGCGCATCACTTGCGATACACCTGCGAGACCAATGCGAGACACACTTGCGAGAATCTGCGCACAAAATGGATGTTTGCGAGCCACCTGCGGTCAACTTGCAAGTAGGCATGAGTAAATAAGAACTGAAACTCTTGTGTAGAAAATTGAACACTGTATTCCAGACTCGTATCGCATAGCAGTGGCCACATTTTAAGTTCTCAAGTGAAGATTACATTTCTTTAGTTTAAATTTACTAAGTACTATGTTGTAGTAGACTATCTATCTGCGTGACACCTGCGATACCTGCGATCCTTTTTGATTATCTGCGAGACACTTGCGGTCACCTGCGAACGGGTGGTCCGCAAGTGACCGCAAGTGGCACGCAGATTTCTATATGCCCGGCATGTTCTGGGTCGAGTATCCACCAACGCCAGAAGGAGGTGCTGGAGAGACGCGGAGCGTGTGTTAGCCTGGAAGACTGGGCAAAGGTCGTTCTCTTTAGGCTGATTTGACGAAAGTGGATTTCGGCCTTGGGGAGGGGGATTTGGGTGAGGTACGTTCATTTTTTTCTCTTTTGTTGGGTTAATGAAGGACGGCGCACAGTTGAAGAGCGTAACGCACATCATACATAACGCCTGGCCCGTGAACTTTAACCTCCACCTCTCCTCATTCGAGCCGCACGTAAAGTGACTGTGTCACCTCGTCCGACTGGCACTTTTAAACGCAGGAACGGTAAGGATAATGTTCACTTCTTCCATCGCAGTTGCAAGTCGCT